CCAGCCAGAACTGGACCAGAAAGTGGCGCTGCTTTAGCTTTTGGCTTCGCTCCAGCCTTGACTTTTGCACCTGGATCTGTCAGGTGAGCCATGAAAAGCCATGAAAAACCATGAATCGGCGTGAAAAACCGTGAATCAACCTCCTGAACATCAATTCCCTTTAGACAAGGCACGGGGTACTGGAGGTGCTGGAGATGCCGGAGCGGCTGGGGACTGAGCCACTGCCGCCTGCTGCTGGCGCGCCAAGGCCACTGGGTCAGCCACTGACAGCGTCGGAGTCGGGAGCATCATGCCCATTGCAGACATAGCATCTGACCCTCTGATCCCCGCTTGCATGCTCGTGGTGAGCGTTTGCCTTTCTGTCGTTGTTTGTTCAGTTCCCACATTCACCCAAAACCTCTGGCTCTTCTGACAATTCGGCGCATCAGGGTCTGGAACTGCTCCTCTGCGGATGCATCCCAGCTTCTTCTCCCTTAGAGAAAATGCAGCGTATATTATTCAATATGGAAAAATGACACGCCCACACACAAACCAACTTTGCCATGCAGGCTAAGTGCTCACTGAAGCCAGCGGCATTCATTTCATCAAGCGTCATCAACTTTCGCTTGACCTGTAAGCTGTCATCATGTTGCCTCGTAGCCTGAAAGCTAGCCTCGATCGCTTCCAGGCTACCTCGCTCCACAAAAGCCTTAAGTACTTCAAGCTTCTGCGCTTTTGTGCCCTGGAAAAGGCGCGCAACTTCCGGGAATTCGCTGGCTCGCGGACCCTTGGCAACGCGGCTCAGCGTAGCCCACTCTTTTCGGTGAGTAGTTGAAGAAATCTCCATGACATGCGTTCCGGAAGCCATACCTTCTGGCAAGTCAGCGCCTGCTCCCGCATGCCCTTCAGGTGGAGGCGAGGCTGAACGACGAGCAGCTTTGGCCAGCTCGTGTTGCTCCAAAGCTTCATTGACCTTCGCTTCCTGGGCCACCCTCAGTTGCCTGCGCTCATGGGCTTCGGTGGTATTGAGCAATTCAGCAGCTTGAGCTTCCGCTTCCTGTTCGTAGTCAAGAGTGGGCTGATTCTCGAAGTCAGGCTGGCGGTCGTGTGGCCAAGAATCGTCATCTCCCTTGGCCTCACACGCGCTGGCAACTTTACATGGCTGGTGCCTTTGCCATGGCCTGACGTGTCATACGTCATGACATGGCATGCTTCGTAAATAGATGTAAATGTCATGGCATGACATGTTTTGTAAATAGATGTAACATGTCATGACATGGCATGTGTTGCACGGAACATGAACTGGTAAACACCGTACATGCATGCCATGCAAAAGTTATCAGTACATGCCATGAATAAGTACATGCCATGAACATGTATCATGTACATGTACCATGTGTCATGACATGGCCCGGCCTCCTCCTCATCGCTCAGCACAAGGACCTTGGAGCCGCCCTTCAACAACTGCTGTCCCTGAAGTAAGGTGACAATCGACCTCAGTACAGGTATCTCTCCCTCTCTCTCCCTCTCTCCCTCTCTCTGTGTTTCTCTCTCTCTCTCTCTCT